CTTGCGTTGAGCTTCCTGGAGCTGCTCTTGCATTGCAATGAATGATGGAGACTGGTCTGGTCGCTTGCGCTTGCCAAGAACTCCAAGACTGTCTTTGAGGCTGCCAACTCCATAGTAATTACCTCGGGAGTCCTTCTCAGTGGACTGTGAAAGAAAGGACAAAGGAAAACACTATAGAGTAAGGCAAAACAGATTCATCCAAGACTCTCTAAATGTGTAAAGTTTCAGAAAGGTGCTTTACCTGAAGAAATATGGCAGTATAATCATCAGCCGTGAGTTCCCGAGGTTGTGAAGATCCGCCTGAAACCGCTGAAGTATCCTCCTGGAGCTCATCCAACTTTGCTTGCACGTTCTTCTCATAAGTCTGCGCAATTTTCTCTGCCTTTCGATCAACATACGTTCCATCTGGCTTTGTATGCGTTGTGATGAAAACCTCACCAAGAGTGACAGTTCTTCCCAATTTTTCTTCCTGAAATGTTAGAAATAAAGAAGGGTTATGAAACTGTTTAAAGGCTAGCAAAGGAAATACAAAATTGACAATCAAAGTGACTTACCATGTCTGATTGTATCTGTTGATACGACTTTGGGCCAGATAAGTGGATGTGAGGACCGAGACCATTACGGTCAGACATACGAGCCTTGGAATAGGTGAGACTCCTTTGCTGTGCTGCATCAGTATCCCAGTGAGCAACCATCTGTTGCCAAAGAGTGTCGACAATCCAACTTGGTCGTTCACGACTGGTCCTCACATTGCTAACCATATCCTTTATCCGGCGTTTACAGACCTTCTCAAACTCTTTTTGAACTGTCCCTGTAACCAAGGGATCCCAAGTATGAGTTTTCTGTGAAAGAAAGACAAAGTATTTGTGTTAGTGCACAAGGAAAAAAAACAGAAGTAAGTAACTATAAGCAAGTATTTTGTTTTAGTGCACAAGGAAAACTTACCGCAAACTCTACGAAGTACCTTTCTCTTCTGTCCTGTGGCACACAAGACCAGCTATAGAAGGGGCCATTGAACTTGTTGGTAAGTACTTTGGTTATCATCCGCACCAGTGTTGGATCCCGATCAAACCTCCATGTAAGATACCGGCAAAGGAGTAAATACAATTAAGTTAGGTGTATATAACCAAAAGAAATATATGAATCAACACCAAAACTGAACATACTCAATATATTAACAATCCGAATATACATGAGACACAAGACAGTTACAAACTCTGTGAAAGAACAATCTCAAACATCAAGCATCAGATTATCAGATTATGCATTATGAATGCGACTGACTTTACCCATGATACACATTAAAAAACATGACATAACACTTGAGACATTACCATATCCTAACTAGAGACATTAACCATGTCAGAAATGACAATAAGATTAAGCTTGAGAAACTCAATAGAGACTGACATTGATTAAACAAGAGAGACTTAGCCATTATAATACGCTTAAGACATTATCAAGACAATCAGTTACCTAAATACTTAAAAAACCTTTAAGAGACGACCAATTCATCAGTAAACATCTAACTAACAATTCATCAGTAAGCATAGAAGGTCACAGGTCTTACCAACTCGTTCCAGGCAGCTCTGGTTCACTGAGAACAGTTGTGAACCTCTCTCTGCCTGGCACTGAAAGCAGGGCATTTAGAGCCTTCACGGTGTCCTCCAGGAGTTCTGGTAACACGGGATCAGGTTCGAAGTTGTGTCCATGAGATGACGGATGACTTGGAGCGTGAGAGTGTTGAGCTGGAGACTCTGGAGGTTCATAAAGGGGATCTTGCTGTTCAAAACCTCGACTGGTCTGCACTTCCGGTAAGGAACGAGCTGGCTGGTCTCCACGGACTTGATTCACGGAGCTCTGAAACAATGACTGTGGCGGTGGGAAGTTCCGGAAATGAGGCGTTGCTGCCGGTGACGCTTGGGGCTCCTCCCGAATCGGCTCTTGCGGCGTCTGAGGCTGAGGAATACTTTGGTTCGCCGGTGTGAAATTGTACTGTGGTAGTAGAGGGCTGTTTCGCTTGACTCCGGTGGGGGGTTTAGATCCTCCAGGTCTCTGGGAAACGTTGGGAACTCGTCATTTCCTTCCTTTTTTCTTTGGTGTAGGCATACTGTGAAGAAGAAGATCGAAGAAGATCGAAGGGTCTGAATCGAAGAAGAGAAGGGTTGATTGAAGAGATACCTAGGGTTTGAAAGAAGTAGAAGAAGAAGATCGAAGGGTTTGAGAACAAAAATTGATGGATTGAGGAGAAGAAGATCGAAGTAGAGAGAATCGAATCAAGGAAAGGGTGGCTAGGGTTGCGAATCGAAGAAGACGGTGTAGTCTTTGATTTTGTCGAAATGAGGAAAGGTTTATTGGGCTTATTCTTATCGGGCCTAGAGTAGTCGCTAAATCGTCGTATGAAAGTCGCTTAATTTTTTATTGGGCTTATTGGGCTTTCTCTTATTGGACAGACTATATTTGGTTTACGTAGCCCATCTGTTGAATCTAGTCGTTAAGTAGTCGCTATTCAGTAGCTTTATACAAAATCTGAATTTAGTTGGTTTGGTTTACCGGTTTTAATTATACCAAATCGGTTTATGCCAAATTATAACAATTTTATTTGGTTTATTGGTTTATGACAAATTTTAAATTTCATATATATATATATATATAATACAAATTTAATAATATATATAATATATTATTGCATTATAATACAAATTATATTATTCCAATTTTTAAATAAGTATATATATATATATATATATGTATATACTTATATATATTATTGCATTGTAATACAAATTATATTATGCCAAATTTTAAATTTCATATATAATACAAATTTTATTAAGGCAAATTATAAAATATGCATATGTATGAAATAATTAAAAGAGTTCTTCATCTTCCGGTTCTTCATCATCTGGAGAAGATAAATTACACTGGAATTCATCTTGAGGTTCTGCATCCCCGACATCATAATCTAGATTGATTGCACCTCCTACATCCAAATTGTCAACCACGAGGTCTTCAATTGTAGTTATTAGTACAGCATCATCATTTTCTGTTTGCAAAAG